CAGCACTCCATCTTAAAAAAAAAATAATTCCAAAGGAGAAAGCCAGAATTAGATAGGGAGTCCGAGACTGTAAGGGGAGAATTCCTTGTACCATATCCTTGTTGCATGTCTCCTCAGCCAAACTCCCATTAGATTATCTCTGTGGCGAGGGTATATAAAGTAAACTTCAATTCTCTAAGTCAGGCATGGGCAAGCTCAGCCCTCCAGATGTTTTGGGACTACAGTTCCCATCATCCCTGACCACTAGTCCTGTTAGCTGGGGATGATGGGAGTTGTAGTCCCGAAACATCTGGAGGGCCGTGTTTGCCCACGCCTGCTCTAACTAGACCATGTGTGTTTGCATCCACACCCACAACTACTCTTGACATCCTTTTATGAAATGTAAATAGTAAAGGTAAAGGGACCCCTGACCATTAGGTCCAGTCGTGACCGACTCTGGGGTTGGGGCGCTCATCTCGCTTTATTGGCCAAGGGAGCCAGCGTACAGCTTCCGGGTCATGTGGCCAGCATGACTAAGCCGCTTCTGGCGAACCAGAGCAGCACACGGAAACACCGTTTACCTTCCCGCTGGAGCGGTACCTATTTATCTACTTGCACTTTGACGTGCTTTCGAACTGCTAGGTTGGCAGAAGCAGGGACTGAGCAACGGGAGCTCACCCCGTCGTAGGGAATCGAACTGCCAACCTTCTGATCAGCAAGTCCTAGGCTCTGTGGTTTAACCCACAGCGCCACCCGTGTCCCTGAAATGTAAATAGACTGGAGTAATTGTAAGGGTGAATGGTATCAGGTATGCAGAGTGTTTTCTGCATTTTGGAATACACACACACACATACACACAAATATATATAAATGGTTTATGCATCACTCAGTCTTTTCTTAACAGCAGCAAATTTTCAGCTGGTTTCACAGTAGAAACACCCCTGTTAAGAGGTGGTTTAACAAAGCACAGAGAGTACTTACAGTAGAATGGAGAAGATACCATTGCAAATGCAGACTGCCCTCCACACTAATTTCAACAATGATTTATTGGGGAAATGGTTCCTGTTTCTGGTGCATGTTGACTTTTAAAAAGAGATGTGTAAAAGACCTGCTAAGCCCAATCCTATATTTATACTGTGATTTGTAAGCTATTTTGTGTGTTATGCGTTCAATGAATTTGATCTCTGGTGACTATGAAAAGAGAAAATGGAAATGGAAATTACTAGTTATGTTTGAAATGAGTGCTTAATGTAATGTTGGTTAATGTATTGCACTTTTGTAATTGAAAAATCTTGCAATAAAGCAGTTCAAAAATGGTTCAAGGTACTTCACATACATTCTCACTATAATCTTTACAACAACCCTGTAAAGCAAGCCAGCATTATATATTTTTTCTCCATTTCTCCTTTTAAAAATATTATTACTATTATCTTAATTATATGTAGGGTGTGTGGAATGTTTAGGCTAATGAAACCAAATGCATTAGATGGATGTATGAGAAGACTCAGCAGTGCCCCCCCCCCCAATTACAGCAAAATAGCTAAGTAAGGTGGGGCTGGAGAGGGGAAAAAACCCATTGAGGACTGAACATGTTTAGTATCCATAGAATGTGACTTGCCTATTGCTGGGGATGGGGTGGAATGGAGTATCCTGGGGATGGGGTGGGTGACTGGATTGGAACATTGACCAGGACACTCTCAGTGAACCATTTTGCTCCACATGTTATCCCCATAACAAGACAAGGAAGTGAGACTGAGAGGTGGTAGTTTGCATTAGTTCACTTAGAACCAGTGTGGTGTAACGGGGGGGGGGGGGGATTAAAAAATTCCTTCCAGTAGCACCTTTGTTGTTGTTTAGTCATTTAGTCGTGTCTGACTCTTCGTGACCCCCTGGACCAGAGCACGCCAGGCACTTCTGTCTTCCACTGCCTCCCGCAGTTTGGTCAAACTCATGCTGGTAGCTTCGAGAACACTGTCCAACCATCTCATCCTCTGTCGTCCCCTTCTCCTTGTGCCCTCCATCTTTCCCAACATCAGGGTCTTTTCCAGGGAGTCTTCTCTTCTCATGAGGTGGCCAAAGTATTGGAGCCTCAGCTTCACAATCTGTCCTTCCAGTGAGCACTCAGGGCTGATTTCCTTAAGAATGGAGAGGTTGGATCTTCTTGCAGTCCATGGGACTCTCAAGAGTCTCCTCCAGCACCATAATTCAAAAAATAGCACCTTAGAGACCAACTAATGGTCAGAGTGTTTCATTGTGACCTGGGACAGCAGGGTTTGGATACTCACTCAACCATGAAGCTTCACTGGGCGACCTTGTGCCTGTCTCTCAGCCTACCCTACTTCACAGGGCTTTTGTGAGGATTAAATGGGGAAGAGAGAATCATTTGAGCTCTTTGGAGGAAAGGGTGGTATATAAACATAACAAATAAACAGTATGTGCGTGACTGAGATCTGAACTGAGGATTTGCCCTTATGCTCTGTTATCTCTTTGTTTATTGCAACTACCTTTTGGACAATAATTTCTTAGGCCCTGCGCATTTAAAGTAGAATTTAAACAACCATGGCTCCCCACAAAGAATCCTGGGAGCTGAAGTTTGTTAAGGGTGCTGAGAGAGTTGTTAGGGGATCCCTTTTCCCCTTATGGAGCTACTATTATCAAGGTTTCCCTGGGAAGACGAGTTGATTGTTAGAGCTGCCATATTCTCCCAAGTGAAAATCCAGAGTTGTTGAGGTGGCGTGTGTGTGTGTGGTCAAAGTTCTTGAAAACCCAGATGTATGGCAGCCCTAGAAACCACTTTGCCATTTTTTATTGCTCCCTAGGCCTAATGGTCCTAACTCCAGGAATATGTTGACATTTCTCACAGTGGAGAAATGTATGAACTGGGTTTCTTCAAGGATATGCATTGGAACTGTTTATCTAGAGACAGGGGTGATGACACCAAATTATTCGGGGTAGTTAAGCACAAAAAGGGATTGCGAAGCCCTCTAAATATCCCTGGGAATACGTCTCAATGAACTCAACAACATTTGACAATTTGTTGATTGCTTTGTTAATAATGGCAACAGGGGTTTTAATATAGACCAATATCAGAAGAAGAAAAGCAGTATCACCTGTTATCACTGGAAAGGAGATCGAGCGATGGTTTTTCATTAAATGCATTTAATTTAACATATTGGATTAGAGTGAGAGAAGGGAGAAATAAATGTGGAGAGGGGAAAAACAACTGTTTAGATTAACTCTTCCAATATTTTAGTAGAAACAACAAATAGACAATATGAGTTGAGAATTAAGATTTGTATTCTGTTTTCAGACTAATGTAGAATAGAATTAATATAGGATGTAATGTAGGATTCACTTCTGGTGTGGATATAAAGATTATATTGATGAAATGTGTTGGATACATCTGATTCTGTTTTTCTTGTAATTACATATTGTTTACTGTTCTTGTCAGCCACTTATAACATAATTGGGAAGCATGGAGTTTAAATATACTTGATGACGAATATGATGATATAAATAAAACAGAGAATAGAGGTAGAATATTGTCTTGCAATATTAATTCCTTAGGCATGTATAATACACACTTGTTAGAAACTGGACATACCTTTGATTAAATAATAATAATAATAACAGACAGCAACAAAACAGGAATGCCACAAGTAATGAGTAAAGAATGAATGGGTATAAATGGTTTCATTATCCTCATTTTTCACTTAGGCAGTTGGGCAACTGTATAATCTTAGACTCTGAAAGTGGTTAGATGAGGGACCTCCTTTAGATGGTAATGTATATTATTGCTAGAGATGGATAAATCAGTCTGTTTATAGTCTGTCAATTCATAAATTTATTCTACCCCATTTTCACATTTTGCTCTTATGGGGGGGGGGAGATTCTTACAAAACTCAATATTTAAATATGCATTCAAATATGTGTTTTATTACAAAATACAGATTTAGGGATGGATTTAATCTCAGTGTATCCTTTTTACATCTTTTTGAGCTGAGAAATGTATTGCAAAATCCAGAGAAGTGGAAAATCCAAAGCCCAATTACAATTGTGTTGCTTTACCTTTTGTGTTTGCAGCCCCGAGCTCCTTTGGAAGAGATATAAGTCTAAAATTAATAATTTTTTTTTTTAAGTGGCTGAGGCATTCTGGGAAAATAAAACCAGATCTTCAAGGAAGTAAATCATGCAACAAATGGAAGATTTAACTGCAAAAATGAAAGGGGCCATACAAAGTGCCCCCCTCGCTTCACTTGCACAAACCTTTAATATCACATTTATTCGCAACCTGGCAAGTTCAGAAACTGGATATGGACTCCTACATATTCAGAATCCTTTCAAGCTTATGTAAAAGTTAGTTGGAAAGGGCAAGGCCATGGTGTCACGAGCATGAAAAGCAAGCTTGGAACTTCCAAAAGAGCTTTTGAGATTTCCCTATTCAAAATTAAGTTGAGAGTTTCTTTAAAAACTTTTTTTATTATTATATATTTCAAGACATGAGCACTGGTTCTTCTTGCAGCAGAATAGCCAGTAGCCCCCCTGCAGTTTCATACATTTCCCTTTATGGGAACAGAGACCTACTGCTTCAAGTGATCTTTAGCACTGGAGACGGACCTTTCTCTCGTTCTCTTGTTTTGAAATGCAGCTCCTATTTTATATTATTCTTCAGCCACTTAACACCTGATTGTTAACCTCTACAAATCAATATATTTTACTGGAATGTCCCCATGGAGAAAGAGAGCTGTAGCCGTGAACATATCTAATGTAGGTCCATTCATGAGCATTGCTAATTTAGGCCCATTAATTATATAACACAGACTATAGAATCTAGAATGTATCCAACTGGTGTGTTTTTTTTAGTTTCAGAGGGGCAAAGGCAGCATCATAAAAAAGAGTCTTACTGGATCAAACCAAAAGGTTCATGTAACCTGATTGCCACCGCCCACTATATTCCCAACCCTTCCTAAATATATTGCACTACTAAATACAATTGTTAAAATTTAATTTTTCAGATGTTGGATAACTCAGCTGGCTTGAGCATGGTACTGATAATGCCAAGGTTGCAGGTTCAGCTGCATATTCCTGCATTGCAGGGGGTTGGTCGGATCGTCAGCGTGCCTTCCAACTCTATGATTTCTATGATCATTGGAGCTTTTAGTACTTTGTAATATTGTTATTCATTTTGTCACTCATATCTGTTTCCATAAATTTCAGAAACTGGAATATGAGCAAGCAGTGTTCAGAAGCATAGCCTCTCCGATCCTGGAGAAAGCATATATCAGGAATGAGGAACATGAGGCTGTCCAAATGTTGGTGCATTTTTTTTATTATTATTTTCATTAATATATGCATCCTAATGCACATTGTACCCCAGCACATTCATTTTTGTACACATTACTTGGTTGGAAAACTGCATGGCAAAATAAAAGAAGTGGGGATTTTGAAGGATGGCTGTTTAAGTTCTCGTATCATTTCAGAATGTGTGAATAAGGTAAGTCCAGATTTCTCCTCTGTCCTGGATCCTACCTGTAGTGCTGTGGTCTAAACCACTGAGCCTCTTGGGCTTGCCGATCAGAAGGTCAGTGGTTCAAATCCCTGTGACAGGGTGAGCTCCTGTTGCTCTGTCTCAGTTCCTGCCAACCTAGCAGTTCAAAAGCACACTAGTGCAAGTAGATAAATAGGTACCTCAGCGGCAGGAAGGTAAACAGTGTTTCCGTGCACTCTGGTTTCCATCACAGTGTCCTGTTGCACCAGAAGCAGTTTAGTCATGCTGGCCACATAACCCGGAAAGCTGTCTGTGGACAAATGCTGGCTCCGTTGGCCTGAAAGCAAGATGCATGCTGCAACCCCATAGCTGCCTTTGACTGGACTTAATCATCCAGGGGTCCTTTCCCTTTCCCTTTAGTAGCATAGAAAGCTGTTGGCTTTTTCCATGTAAACCAATGACTACCTAAGACTACCTGCAGATGTAGAGGGCATAAGGAGAAAATCTTACATGCTGCCTGATTCTTTTCATTGCCAGGGATTGAATCTGAGGCTTTCTGCAAGCAAGCGATCTACCTCTGAACAATAACCCCTTCCTAATTTCATTGAGATGCCATTTGGACTGCTTCTCCACTGTACCATTATTATTATTATTATTATTATTATTATTATTATTATTGGAACTGCTTATCACAGGCTTTCTCAATCACCCTTACAGGTGAAATCAGATAAATAGCTTGAATTGGCTGAACTGCATGTACCATTCCAACAAACTGCTTCTATATCTCCTTACTCTCTAGGCACCAATGCCACCTGGTTACCAATAGGTGTCAATGTTCCCCCTGTCACTACCAATTGCGCAAGAAGTGCAGATGGGCAAAACATGTTTGTTTTTTTGTTTTTGTTTTTTTTAAAGCAAGCAACGTACTTCATGGTTTTCCCAGTGACTTTTGTTCTCTCGGAATCTTTAACTGTTTAGTTTTTCCCCTTCCTATTCAGTTAAAACTTGCACAGCGAAGGCTGAACAGGTGAGACTCAGCTTTTGTTTCTGATATGCCAGACATATCTCAGCTCATCAGGAGAAGGGCAGAAGATGCTAGTTTTAACCAGGTAGGGAAGAACAGATAATCAATAGCAAGTTATATACTTCTCCAGATCAGGCCAGGGGAAAACAAACACTAATTTGGAGATATAACTTACAGAGAGAGAAAGGTAACTGGTGATTGTCTACTAGCAAAGAGCATAAGCATGGGGGAAGCACCTGGAGTCCTCCTGATGTTGTTGAACTATGACTCCTATCATTCTTAACCACTGGCCATGCTGGCTAGGGGAATAATGAGAGCTGGGGAATAATGAGAGCCAACGCGAGGCCTCTTCCTCCTCCTCCTGACCTGCAAACCCAGAACCCGAACAGGAGCGGAGGGAGGCGGCACAGAGGACGCCCGTTCTCATTGGCTGCCCAGGCGCCTGCCATGGCTGAGGGAGGGTTGCTGGCTAGGGGAATAATGGCTAGGGGAATAATGAGAGCCAGGGCCACAGCTTCCCATCCCTCAGCTAATTAATGGGGTTCTCACCAATACTATGGAAATGAAGGCAAAAAAGGCAGGACAACAGGTATCAAAGTGAGGAAAAATATGAAACAGATTCTCTCCCATTCACGAAATCGTTTTTGTATATGTTATTAATTATCAACATTCATATGCCACATTACTATCCATTATTTAAGATGGTTTATAATCCAAAACAACAAACCAATATTACACAGTAATAAAAATGCACACCCCAAAAAAGGTTAAAAACAACAACAGGGGCATTATAAAATCAGCTTAAGTGCAACCATCTACAAAGGCTTGTTGAAATGCTACCCATCTAAAATTAAGCAGCAATGAGGCCAAATGGTTATTCCAAATCTTGGGTGCCAAAGCTAAAATGTCTGTGCCTTGAGTAGCAGAATTCAGAGCAAGACCCCAGAATAGGAATGATGTTCTCACACACAGTCATGTGGAAGGAGAGGATTCTTGCATTATTTTGGTCCCAGATTGCTTGAGGCTTTAAAGCAGCAGTAGGCAACCTAAGGCCCCAGGGTCATATTCAGCCCTTGACCTACTTCCAACATTATGCCTACTTTCATTTTTGTGATAAGGAGGGGGAAACAAGGTGGGGTGGGGGTAACAGAAAAGAACAGAAAGTGTGGAGGTTCCCCACCTGCCTTTGACTCTGGCTCCACCCCCACCTTGATACAGCCCCCTGACGGATTATTCCCCAAGGGAATGGGCCCTGGTACGAGATCTGTGCAATAAGACTGCTCTTCCATGCAAAAGCCACCATTACAATTAAAGGAGGAAAAGGAAGGCCAAAATACACCATAGAAAGGTTTTTCCTTTGTGCATGGATGCTGCTGAAATACATCAAGTGCTCTGCAAATTTGCTAGTATATGTAATAGAGGTAATTTAGAACAAACACATTAGTAACTGAGTCTTCTGTCCATATAAAACAGGCCTATTCCCACTAATATATGCTGTAGATTATTGCTGAAAGGAAGACTGGATAAAGGTGCAGTCAGAACACCATAAAAATCTGTTTAAGTTGAAAGGGCTTCCTTCTGGAAAATTTCATAGCTTTGTCAAATCACAGAGATGTGAAAATGCGCATTGGTTAAAAACTGGGAGCTGCATTTGCTCTAAGGCCTATGACTCCACCCTGCCATTCTCCATTGGATTTTCGTTCATTAGGGGATTCTGGCAGGTATGTTGTAAGGAAAGGAAAACCCTGGCTTAACTTCCAAGAAGCAGATCCTGAAGTAGTAGACAGGGAGTCAGGGTGTGTATGTATGGGCCAGGTGAAAAATGGGGGAGATTCTCTCTGTGTGTGTCCTATGTGTGTGTGTGCAAGAGTGTACATGCATGGAAGAGTGTGGGCAGGCATGTTTAGCTTTTGCCATGGAACCCTCAGAGTGTTGGCCAAGTATGAGTGTGGTCTGTGCCCCTGCCCCCCAAAAAACCTCAGGCACTTCTGGTTTAAATCAAAATTTAGAGCCATCCTTGCATTCCAGATAATAGGCTTTTAAAAAGGCATCCAGAAAGAAAAAATGAAAGAAAGAAAGAAAGAAAGAAAGAAAGAAAGAAAGAAAGAAAGAAATTGTACTTTCCTGTCTCTCTTTTTAAATACACACATCTGGATAGGTGCAATAATGCAGAACAGAGGACTAGAGTCAGGTGTGTGTTATCAGCCATAGTTTAGAGTCAGTGTGACACTTTGGATGGCTTTAACATATGCAAAGCAGAGCACAGCAGAGCAGCCAATGCTGTAGAGGCATGGTGAAGCAAAGGTAGAAGCACTGTAGAAGAAGAGGGAAACTGTCCGTTGAATCCACCTGCTTTGTTAGGGAACCAGCAGGTTGGAAAATAAATCCCCTTTCAGAAAATCATGCTGGTTCGTGAGTTTAGCAATTAATGCACTCATTTTGAAAACCTGCCAGGTCCATCAGATTTCCATGATTTCTTTTTTACTGTGCTAATATCATCTTCAGGTACAACAATAAACTACTACTACCTGCATTAGGATTATATATAAAAGGATGTCACATAGAGGAGGGAGAAAGGTTGTTTTCTGCTGCTCCAGAGAAGCGGACACGGAGCAATGGATCCAAACTACAAGAAACGACTACAACTACAACGACAACCATATGTCAGGAGTGCTCTGATGGTGTTTCCTGCTTGGCAGGGGGTTGGACTCGATGGCCCTTGTGGTCTCTTCCAACTCTATGATTCTATGATTCTATGATTCTATATACGACAACAACAAAGAGGCAATAATGTCGGGTTATTTTGAATGGGGCAGCCAGCAAAATGAGAGAGAGTGTGTGAGAGAGATGTTTCATTAACATGTGCCTTTCACAGGGCCGGACTTACTGTTGGGCCGAGTGAGGCAGAAACCTCAAGTGGCAGGTGCAAGAAGGCAGGGATTAATGGTGAGGTGTTGGAGGACTAAGCTGTTATTTCTGGATGTCATGCCTACTGTTCTCTGGGCTAGGTAAAGGTAAAGGGACCCTTGACCATTAGGTCCAGTCGTGACCGACTTTGGGGTTGCGGCGCTCATCTTGCTTTATTGGCCAAGGGAGCCGGCGTACAGCTTCCGGGTCATGTGGCCAGCATGACTAAGCTGCTTCTGGGGAACCAGAGCCGTTTACCTTCCCGCTGGAGTGGTACCTATTTATCTACTTGCACGTTGACGTGCTTTCGAACTGCTAGGTGGGCAGGAGCATGGACAAAGCCACGGGAGCTCACCCCATTGCGGAGATTCGAACCACTGACCTTCTGATCGGCAAGTCCTAGGCTCTGTGGTTTAACCCATAGAGCCACCAGCGTCCCTCCTGCATCAAATGCCCCAGAGAGTTGCAATAGTCTAGTCCAGATATAATCAGGGTATGAATTGCTTTAGCCAGATCCACCAAGTCCAGATAAGGCCATAGATCAGCATAAACTGATAAAAAGCTCTTCTAGCCATTGCGTGACCAGGTGGAGCCCCCCCCCCAGCCCCCAGGGGACCACCAGAACAAATAATGACCCATGACAACGTTTCTATGTGGGAGTTGATCATGGTGTGGA